ATATCTTTGGCATGAAAAACCCAAAGCGATTTACTCCTTGGTATTTCTTGTCAGTGCTTTGGATCTGTCTCTGCTTTACCTTCTCATTTCCTTTGGGCTCTCCAAGTGCAGTAAGGATTTGGGGAGCGATGGGAGCTGGAGGGACCCTGTGGTGAGGATGGGGATGGTGTCTGCATCCTCTCCAACCCAAGGCTTCCCAGCTGTGCTATAAAATCCTTTCCCCCCATATTATTTGCCCCCTTTGGGGGGATTTCCCTGCTGCTTGTCTTGGCTGTGCCTTGCCAGGATTCTTTGCACATCCACTGTGGGTCCATCCCATGCACCAGGATGTGTTTCTCCATCATCCCAGAGAGTTGTGCAGCCTGGGTGCTTGGCTGGTGTTTGAGGGCTTTGTAATCCACCGGGAAGCAGAGCAAGCCTCCTGTCAGTGGGCATAAATCAGCCAGGAGCTGGAAAACAGGGAAGAGCAGGGGAGTGTGGGCCCCTGTGCTATGCCACCGGATGGCTCAGGGACTTCCAGTTCATTTATTCTGCTGGGGTTTGCCCAGCCCTGCTCGGCATGGGAAATGTTTGCTCTGAAAGACTCAGCACTGAGATGGGTGAAAAAACATTCTCCTGTCCCAGGAGCTGGCAGAAACTCTGCTCAATCTGCAGAAGTATGTTTTTGTCAGTGCTGCTTACTCTGTTAGGGGAACTCGGTATAAACTTATCCAGCAGCAAACCTTTTCCTGGAATAAAAGTCCTGACCCTGTTCAGAGCATTGTCAGGATGGTTGTACCGGGAAAGGAGCTTTGCTGGCAAACACGTTGGGACTGAGGAGGCCCAAGAGGGCAGATACAAATCTCCTGCAGCCTCTGCCCCATGGACAGACCCCTCAGGACACACCTGCTGCCCTTCTCCCTGCTCAAACCAAACATAAAATCTGAGCAAGCTTCATTTGCAAAGAAAACATGGATTTTTTTTCATTTTCTCCCCCTTGAAAGCATGTCTGTGCCACCATCTCTCCCCTCCAGGCTGCAGCTGGGCATGCACAGCAAGGTCAGGGTCTGTGTTGGGAGTGATGCCGTGGGGACACATCCTCATCCTGCATCATTTTGCAGCTGTGGCATCAGCTCACAGCCTGGTCCATCAGCTCTGCTCTCCTCCCTCAGTTTCCCTGACCCTGGCTGGCACCAGAGGCACTGCTGGGAGCCCCTGGGGTGGTCCTGGATAACAGTGGGTATCCACTCCAGTTTGAATTTCTCATCCCCCACCGTGTCCTTATCTCCCTGCTTCTCCCAGCTGGGCTGGGGATGCCTGCTGGGCTTTTTGGCAGGAGAGCAGGGTTTGGGCTGGAGATCAGAGCTGTGACACCCCGGGTGGGGTGTGAGCCCTGGGTGCTGGCAGGGGACAGCTTCAAAGGGCAGCAGGTTTTTCTGGGCTCCAGCCACTGCTTTGCTCTCCAGGCAGGCATGAAAATGTGAAAGAATGTGAAAAATGTGAAAATGATCATGCTGGCCCCAAGATTTGTAAACTTTCTGGTTAATGTGTAATAAATACAACAGATACTGCCAGCACTGGGTGGGTGACCACAGCCACTCCGTGGTGGTACCACCAGCAGTGACATCCCAGAGAGGCATCTCCCTTCCTCTGCCCTGGGGTCAGCCCCAGGGTGTCCTGCTTTGAGAGGCTCTGGGGCTTTTCTAAACTGGTTTATCTGGTTTGGACCTATCCAAGTTGCTGTGAACTACCTTGTCTGGCTTGCAAAATGCTCTTTATTTATTTGTTTAATCCTCCCCTGGTACAAGGTGCTGTGATGTCCAGGTGCATTGTGTCCAGTCAGAGCAATGCCCAGCACTGCAGCAAGGAGTGTGCTGCCAAATGCTGCTTTATCCAGAGGCCTTGGATCCTGGGAGTGATTCCACCCAGGTAGCTCATCCAGCTGTAACCACCTGTGCAATATTTCCTGCTTGGCACAAAGTGAGGTGCTGCAAAATCCATATTCCTGCCATAGTCAGCCTGGGGGAATCCATGTGAGTCATCTGGGGGGGAAAAACAGCTGGAAGTTGGTCCTTCAGTTCTGGGTGGGTCTGGCTGTAGCAAAGCTGGAGGGGAAGAGAGGTGCTGCAGGGGAACAGAGATGTTGCAGGTCGTGGTGTGGTGGTGAAAGGGACCAGGACTCATCCTGGAGAAGCTCCTGCAGCCACCCAGGGCATGTGCAGCGTGATGGATGGGGGGGCAGACCTGGCACAGCCTGGACTTGCCCAGGAATTTGAGCTGAAAAGGGTTGGAGAAGAGTCCCTGGCAAGGGGAGACTGCAATGGAGCTGATGCCAAGGGGTGGCCTCGTGCTCTGCCAGGGTTTGGATGTGATGTGGATGAGAACAGCTCCATGGGCTGTGTTCCTCCTCTCCTGCAAACGGCCTCTGAGCATCAGGGATCAGGAAAATTTTGCCCGATGCTAATGCATAAATGTCAGCCCTGGATGACTTTCCCTGTAATTTAGGGAGAAGAGAGTGAGCTTAGAAAATGGTTTGTACTGGTTTTGTTAGCCATGTCATCCTGGCATCCCTCCCCTGAGTACAAGGGGAGGACAGAGGTTTGTGGGTGCATCTCCCTTGGGTTTTGCTTGGTTTTTCCACGTGGCTGCAGGTGCAGTTGTGGGGGTCCCTGATGCATGTTGTGGGGTGCAGGGCCACCCTCTGGGGATGGGACAGGATCCAGCTTGGTGCTGTGTGGAGGGTGCTCAGAGAGGCTGGAGACTCAGCCTGGTGAAGGGACCTGGGAGCTGCTGGATGCCAGCAAAGGTGCTGGAGGGCAGGATTATGTGGTGTGGCTTCTTGGGAAACCTGAACAACAACCACCTTAGGGGCTCAGCTTTGCTGCTTTATCTTTTCCCAAACCCCAATTTTAGCACTGGGTGATATTCTGCTCCATCACCCTGTGCAGATTCCCAGCCAGGGGACTGGGATGGTGCTGGGATGGGTTTGGGCTGATCCAGACCATGTCCAGGTTGGTCCATGCTGTTCCTATGAACTTGGTGGCTCAATTCTCTGCTGTTCTCAGTCCAGCTGGGCTCAGCCCCTGAGCTCTGGACCAAAGCTCCTTTCAGGTGCCCAACTGTGGAGAAATCCCAATGGCTTTCCAAGGAAATTGCAAAGGGAATTTTTTGGGGAAAACAAAAGCAATTTAGCTACCATCAAATGTGTTCAGATACCTGATCCTGATTCTAGGAGTGTGAGGGAGGAGCTGTGGGGCTGCAGAATGGGACCTGGGCTCGTGGGCTTTGTTGGGGCAGGGCTGGGCAGACTCTCCCACAGCTCAGCCCCCTCCCATGACTCAGCCCCCAACCCACTGCATCCTGTCCCCGTTAGTTAATGTACCAAGAGCCTCCAGGCTTCATAAATTAACATTCTGGGCTATGAATTATGAATGGAGCCACATCCCTGATCACTGCAGAGCTCCACTGACAGCCCTGGAGCTTCTGATCCGAGCGACAGCCCAAAGCTTTTAAAGATGTGAACAGCAAAACCTGGGAATAATTTGCGAGTTACAAACCTCTTGGCCTACGGAAGGGGCTCATTGTATTTCCTCTCCTGCCTCCTCCTGTCACCTTCTCCTCTTTTGTTTCTCTGTATTGCCTTCTCTACTTGCTCTTCCAATCTGTCTTCATAGATGTTGTCCTGCTTGGCTGTGTTGACCATCCCATGGGAGCTACATCCTTCATGGCATGTTCCTCCCCCAAGATTGCAGTTACCAAGTGCAGACAGCTGCTCCAGTGCTGGTCTTAGCTAGGTTCTGGTTGTCTCCAACACAGGGCATGACTCTCCACACCATCCCCATGGCTGGTGCAGAGCTTGGTGGGGTTTGGGGAGATCTCTGCGGCTTCGTCTCCCTTTGGCCATAACTTTGTGCTCAAGGCATTGTATTCCACTCTGCCATTGGTCTTGTGGGGCTTTGTCCTTGAACCTCTCCACCACTGGAGGCCAAATCCTGCCCTAAGCAGCTGGATGTGCTTAATCCTGTAAGTCTGGGTACTCCTGGGGTTTGATGCCTTCTGAGTTTGTCGGGATTCCTACATCCTTGTCTCCAGGAGCGGCATCTGGGCTGCTCTGCCTGCTCTGGAGCAGGGCTGAATTTAAAAACTGAGCTTCAGACACTTGTCACAAATGAAGGCAAGGCCCTGCACGTCCCCCACCGTGGTGCTGTGCTTGGGAGACAACCCTTGTCAAGTGGGGAGGGAGCAGCACTGCTCCCTGGGGATGTCAGGAGCACAGGAATCCATGCCAGCCTGAGCAAGGGATGCGGGAAACGAACTCTTGTTATTCCCAGCCCTTTCCAGTTGAGCCATCCTGAGCCAGGCAGCAAAAAAACACAACTTCAAAAGCAAAGCCTCAGCGTCTGGCGAAGGCATTCTGCTCCAGGCTGGGGGCAGGAGCACTCGGCAGGTCCTGACTGCAGCTTGTTTCTCTTGCCCAGGGAACACTGCAGCTGTGTGAGGTGAAGGATGGACTGGCAGAGCCCCAGCAGTTGTTTTTCCTCCTGAAGACCAGCGCTTGGGCGAGCTGAGGGGCTCAGTCTGCAGGGAAGGAGCTGTTTGCTGGACACGAGCATCCTCCTGTCTGCAGTGAGGGGAGAGGAGCTGCTCCTGGAGGGGAAAATACCGCCTTGGTTTGGTGTCTAATTAGATATTTACCAGGAAGGAAGGAAAGATATAAATAGGGTGGCAGTGACTTCAAAGGGTGTTTTTGACTTCTAAGAATAACACCTTTGCTGGCGCCGATTTCGGGAATATCAGCTGTGCCTGGGTGTGAAAGAAGGAGGAGGTGTTGCAGCTCGGTCGGCAGCCAAGGGAGCAAACTCAGACCCTCGTCCCCCAGCCCTGCCCAAGGGACCAGCTGAGGAGAGGACGTTGGCATCGCTGCAGGGGCCTGTGGAGAGCTCCACTGCACCCACAGGGACACAGCAGAGGGATTTGGGGAAGACAAAGCTGCCAGAGGGTGGGAAGGAATGTGTGGCACCATGGGGACCCTCTCCCCACGGACAGTGCTGGTGCTCACTGTGGTGCTGGCAGGACTCTGGGCTCCCTGTGTGGTGTGTGAACAGCCCAACTTCATTGTCATCCTGGCAGATGATGTGGGCTGGGGGGATCTGGGGGCCAACTGGGCAGAGACGAAGGAGACCCCACATTTGGATCAGTTGGCTGCTGAAGGGACAAGGTAATGTCTGTCCCCCTTCCCTGCCCTCTCCACACATCCCTAGTTACCCTGTCCTGTAGCAGAGGGAAATTTGCGTCCATGAGACTGTCAGGGATTTGACTGATGTGGTTTTGGGTACATAGGGAAGGCAACCAGAGCCTGGTACCATGGGGTGCAGGTCCATCCATCCCTGATGAGACCTGAAAGATTCATCCCCTACTCCCAACCCTCAGGCTGGGATGCAGGTCCATCCATCCCTGATGAGACCTGCAAACTTCATCTCCCACTCCCTACCCTCATCCCTGGGGCAGAAGGGGTTGCATGCAGGGCAGCAGGGAGGGATGGGGCAGGGTCTGTGAGTGAATGACCTTTTCATTTTCCAGGTTTGTGGATTTCCACTCGGCCGCATCCATCTGCTCCCCATCCCGTGCCTCTCTGCTCACCGGGCGCCTCGGGGTGCGCAATGGGGTGACCCACAACTTCGCCATCACGTCGCTCGGTGGCCTCCCCCGCAACGAGACCACCCTGGCTGAGGTCCTGCAGGAGGTTGGGTACAGCACAGGGGCCATAGGTAATGCCCAAAGTGCCAAGGGGACATCCAGGCTGGGGAGATGATGAAGGTGTCTATGTCCATCCCTTGCAGTTCTTGCAGGTACTGAAGTGAAACTCTGGCAACGAAAGGAAAGTCTAAAGGATCACATGAAAGAGATTTCACACGTTCCCCTTGGATTTTGCAATCCCGAGCTTAAAGTCTTCCTTTTCAAACACATGACATTGCCTGAAATCCAGGCCCTCCCCAGTTCTCTGTTTAAGCTCTGGGTGCTTCACCTCTCAAGGAATGTGCCTGGTTTGCCTTAGCAAACATGACTGTGCTCGGCAGCTCTGCCATCCTGCACCCCATGCCAGAGTCAGTGCCACTGTGGCCTCGTGGCTTTGGGCACCCTCCTGTCACTGTGGGACCCCCAGGGAGGGAGAGAACCCTTTGCACCTGCACCTCCTGGTATCTATGCACATGGTACTAGCAGAAAATCCCCCTGTTTCTCCATTGCCCCAGATATTTTGCAGTTCTCCCTCGGATTGGCGCATCCGATGGGAGCAAGCGCGTGCCGGAGGTCAGAGGATGAAGCTGGTTGGCTGGGAAGGGTTGGAAAGCTGTCTGCTCACAACACCAGCACATGAAAGAGCCTTTTAAGGCCGGAAACAGTCGCTTTGCACAGGCACGAGATAACTTATGCATTTTTTCTGGGTTTGTGCAGAAACAGACTGACATTCTTGAAACGTAGCCAGCACAAACAAGGAGCTTTCCTGTAGCTAGATTAAAGCCCCCAACGCTGTGGGCACCTTGTGGGTGATGGCTGGTGTTGGCTGTAGCTGTGTAACCTCTGAAATGATGTTCTTGTGGCTTCCACACAGGCAAATGGCACCTGGGACACCACGGCCAGCATCACCCCAACTCCCGCGGTAAGGGCTGTGCCAGTGGGGGTGAGCTGGGCACCGTGTGGTCACCTTCACCCTGCTGACACACTTGTTTGCACCTCAGGCTTCGATTACTACTTTGGGATCCCCTACAGCAACGACATGGGCTGCACAGACACCCCTGGCTACAACCTGCCCCCCTGCCCGTCCTGCCCGCGGCACAGTGAGGCTTACAGGTATGGGGGGTGAGGGCTTCGAGTGCTGGCACTGGGAGGTGGGTGTTTGCACCAGTGTTCCCAACCCTTTGCTCTGGTCACCTCCCCTTATGCTCCATCTATCCAGTTTCTCCCCATGCACAGGGTGCAGGTAGGGGAGATGGGTCATTCTCAGAGCAATCCCCCGACCTGTGCCATGGGGACGTTGGCATTGTCCCTTTCTTCTCCCCTCCTTGGCTTTCTGCAAGGTTAGGAGAACAGCCAGGCTATGTGCCTGCTCCCACACCTGTCCCTACTCCAGTGATGAGTGTTGGGGTGTCTCTTCCCAGCAGGGAGACGAGGAAGAAGTGTTACATGGAGGTTGCCCTTCCTCTCTTTGAGAACGTCACCATCATCCAACAGCCTGTCAACCTCAGCAGCCTGGCCACGCGCTACGTGGAGGAGGCAGCACGGTTCATCCAGCAGGCAAGGTGAGGTGCCATCTGCCACATCCTGTGCCCTTTGCTGGGACAGCCTATGGGTCACTGCAGGAGTCCTCTGCATCACAGTAGAGTGTCCCAGGGGGGGTGAGTGTTGCTCTGTGGTCCTTGGGGAGCAGATTTTGGGTCTCCATGGCTTGGCTTCCTGCTGGAGGAGGGAGAAACCACTGAGGGACACTGTGGAAGCCTTTTAGTGCATCTCCTCTAAAGGGATTGTGTGTTTTTAAAACTACTATCTATAAGGAAGGTCAAAGCCTTTGAGCTGGGCTGTGCCTTTCCTGGGGGGAATGTGCATGAGGTTCTGTCTAGCAGGGATGAGAGAGAGGGAGATGCTGCCATCTCTCTGTTCTCCATCACTCTGCTCTCCATCCCTCCATCCCTGTGCTGCCTTGGGATGAGGTGGCAGCAGGATGGTGGATGTGAATGTTTTGTCAGGGGAGCGGGTGCTGAATGGGTGCCCATGGCAGCTCCCACAGCAGGACCAGAGCAGCACCCAGAGGTGTCTGAACCCACTCTGTATGAGGGGTTTGGTTCATTTTTTGGATAAAGTGGTCCAGGATCCCTGGGCTTCAAAGTCTGCCTCCTCCAGCCTCACAGGATGCAATGCTGGTCCCCAAGGAGCAGAGAGACTCCTCCAAATGAGGACCTCGAGCCCTGCTGATGGGTTGTGTAATTTTAATCCCTATTATTGGCGGATTATGAGCTGTGACTTGGCTAAATGCCTCCCTGCAGCATGAAGAGAGGAAGTGCTGCTGGGCAGCCGTGTCCGAGCCCATCCCACACCTGCACCCAGGGATAACTGGGGAAGGGCCATGGCATGGGGGTCCTAGGGGTAAGATGTATGTGACAGGGGCTGGGCAAGGAGCAGCCCGTGGGGAAATAGCTCCTACAAACCTGGGTGCTGGTTTGTGGCATGATTCCTACAGTTTATCCCTTTGGGTAGCAAGGATTGTCCTCGGCGTGGCCTGGCCCTGCTGTTGGGATGCTGAGGCTTTGGGCTCTGGGGCAGCAGCATTCCCTCCTCCTGGCTGAACCCCCAGCCCTCCAGGCTGCCAGGATGCTGCTCAGCTGTGAAACCAAGTGCATGAGCTCCGGGTTAATAGGAAAAACCTTTGAACTCCCAGAAGTGTTTCGGGGTTATCTGCGTTCACTGAGAACAGGATTAAGCAGGTGTCTGCCTTTTCTCTCCTTCCCTTTGATGGCTTATTCCAGTTTTCCCCTGCCTGACTCATTCATTACAGGCCAACAAAAGAACACCGGATTTGCCATCTCGGTGTTTTTTCAACCAGTCGTGTCAAGGTCGAGCAGTTTGTGACAGTGAGACATGGCACTGCTCAAGTGCTGTGAGCGTGAGAGCAAAAGTCAGGGACACATCTTCAGTTATTGATTAAATGTTTGCTTGATCCTTGGGATAATTCCGAGATGTCCATGTGACAGCCAAGTGGGATGTTTAGCTGAGCACCACAGCCACGAGTACTTCTGGATGCTGGAGTGGTGCTGCTGGGTGGAATGTGAGCTGGGGGAAGCAGCTTTTCCTGCTCTGGATCTCTGGAAAAGGTGCTGCACAGTGTTTGCAGTGACAGTTTCAAGGGGCACATCAGCACCCCTGAAGCCCCACGTTCCACAGGGTCTGAGCAGGGTGCTGGGGGGAACACAGCTCTTTGGAGGGCTCCAGTGCCACTGGGGGAGGATCTGGCATCCCTAGGCAGGATGGGTGATGGATACAGGAAGGAAGTGCTGGGACACACGTCGAAGTGGCCCTGAAAACTTTGTGGAGGCAGCGATGGGGCAGCCAGAGCCAGACGCATGCGCCAGCTCGGACACAGCCCTGGGATCCGGCCCCTCCCCACCACTGGCCATCCCACCCTTCCCCTTGGAGGTCCCTGAGGAAGAGCAGGCCTCGTTGGAGGAGATAAATATAGCTGTAAACGAGCAAACAGGACACGTCCTGTGATGATTTAGGAGTGAGCAGGCAGTGGGGCAGGACGGCGGGCGAACGTGCCGCGCTCCCTGTCTGGGGTTGGTGTGAGTGTCCTGGGGATGGTCATCCTCTGCTCACATCACCAGTGGGGCTGCTGCTTGCTGAGGGTCAAAATGGGCCCTCTAAGAGAGAGGAGGGAGGGAGGTGGATGCCAGGGGTGCACTGGTGTGGGGTGTTCATCCTCTGGAGAGGGAGGAAGGGCTGAGCCTGTCCCACATAGGAGGACAGTTGGTAATGGGGAGAGGTTTAAGAAGGAGGAGAGACCAAGGGAGGAGCAGGTGCCTGGAGGGTTTGCAGCCAGCTAATGCACACAGGGTGTTTTTCCCCCAGGAGCTGCAGGGGTGGAAAGACAACCAGTCTGTGTCCCCCAGGCTTGGCAGTGCCAATAACCTCCTGCCACTTCCTTCCCCTGAAGGCTGAACACTCTCCTTCTCTCCCTGTGCAGTGACAACAGACGTCCCTTCTTCCTCTACCTGGCTCTGGCCCATATGCACGTCCCACTGGGTGTCCCCCCATCACCCTCCACCTCCACCTACGGAGCCTCCCTGAGCGAGATGGATGCCCTGGTGGGACAGATAAAGCAGATTGCTGACAGCCATGGGAAGGGCAACACACTTCTGTGGTTTGCAGGTACAGCAGGAAAATTGGCTGTGGGGCTGGGGGGACACTGGTGACTGCACCAGCCCCAGGGTGGGCATGGGTAGGGGGGCAGTGCCCTGTCCTCAATGCTCTGACTGCTCTGGGGAGTGGGGACAAGGTGGGGACAGAGGTCCAGGGCTGCTGTGGCCACTCAGCTGGATGCCCACCCTGCCACCCCACCCTGCTTTGGCCCCGGGACTGAACCGGTGGCCGTGACTAATTAATCCACAAATCCTCATTCATTAAGAAGCCCAAATCCGCTCTCACTGGGCAGCCTCCCTAATGAGGATGTCTTGCTCCTGATGACAGGAACTGCTCCACCACTCGCTCATTAACGCCCAAAGCTGGTGGCAGCTGTCCCTCCCCCCCACCATGCCCTGACTCTGCTCCAGCTCATCACCCAGGACTCAGCCCTTGGAAACAAACTGTTAGACATCCAAATCCATAAACCTACTGCTCTTGCTCATGTGGGGAGGGAAGGAGGGATGGAGGGGTCACTTGTCCTTGCCCACACCCCATTATCCTCTCCCACACCCTGGTCCTGGTGTCACTCCTGGAGATGTTTCTTTCTCTTGCAGGTGACAATGGCCCCTGGGCACAGAAGTGTGAGCTGGCAGGACGCCTGGGGCCGTTTGTGGGGGCCTGGCAGAGGCAGAAAGGTAACCTGTCCCCATGGTGCAGGGGGACTGCTCCACAAAGCCTTCCACTGCCCATCAAGGGGGACACAGGGAGAATTCCACCCCCAGCCTTTCCCGGGGCTTGAAGACACTCTAAATAATTTTTTTCTTTCAAACACTCAAGTTTTCCCCTAAAACCACTGCTGGAGGAGGGCTGAGGTCCCTGTGACCCTGCAGCTTGAGTTGAGCAGTGCTGGTTTGGGGATAAGATGCTGCCATCAGCTCCAGCAGGGTCTCATCCCCCAGCCCCATCCCTCCTGGAGCACAGCACCCAGCACCATCCCTGGAGCTTTGCTTTTCTTCCTCTCCACCGTTTTGTTGGTTTTTTTTTTTTCATCTTTCCACCTTTTCCGGCCAAGCCATCTGCTTGGTGGGTTTATTTCGGCCGGAGAAACATGCATGAGTCAGGCATTTCCCACTTCTGCAAGGAGCAGGGCTCGGTTCCCCCTGTGCCTGGAGGCAGCAGTGGAGAGGTCACGGATGGCAGCTCCTCATTCCTCCTCTGCCTCCTGACACGCCAAGACGATGTGACTGTAGCTGCTTCCCTAGTCAAACGCTGCCACTGGGCTGAGTCGCTGTCCCGTTCCCAGAGCCTTTCCTCCGCCTGGCCCCGGCACATAACCTTAATTTTTTTTAGTAAACAAACCCTGCTGCCCGCCTGGGTGGCTCTTGAGCAACCCACGGTCACAAGTCAGAGCAGATGGTACAGGCAGTGCAGCGTTGAGGAGGAAAACACATCCCTTTTCCAGCCCCTTGCTGCCCGGCAGAACACCCCGAGCCTGGCGGGGAAGGCTGGGGAGGAGGTCAGGCTGGCAGGGAGCTCCGAGCTGGCTGGAAGCACTGGCTGGAAGGATGACTTTGGAAATCCCTCAGCTGGTTGTTGCAGGGATGTTTTGAGAGCCAGCCCAGCGTTACGGGCTGCTGCCAGCCTGCCTGGCACTGCAAACCCCTGCCTGAGGCTGCTGGGAGGGAGGGATGCTCTGCTCTCCCATCCTGGAGGTTTTGTCCCCCAGCAGGGAAAAGCCCCTGAGGAACAAGAGTTCAGAGGAAGATGGACTGCTCTGGGGTTTATAGGCTTCACATACTTTGGAGTTTACTTTTAGGGTGCAACCCGAATTCCAGGGATGTTTGAGTTTGATTTCAGGTGGTCACTGGAGTTTGGTCCTCACTGAGAGAGAGCAGCATAGCATAGAAGCCTAGAATTTTAGGGTTTGGAATGGAGCTTAGAGATCATCCAGCCCCAACCCCTGCCCTGGGCAGGGACATCTCCCACCAGAGCAGGTTGCTCAAGGCTCATCCAACCTGGCTGTGAACACTGCCAGGGTTGGGGCAGCCACAGCCTCCCTGGGCAACCTGGGACAGTGTCTCACCACTCTCACAGGGAAAAACTTTTTCCTAATATCTAGCCTAAGTTCCTTCAACTGGAACCTGTGTTCCATGTGTGCTGCCCCTTTCTCTGGCTGAGGAGCTTCCTGCAGCCTCCATCCCACCCCAAAGCCCATCCCTCACCTCAGGGCCCAGAGCCCAGCAAAGGAAGGTGCCAGGATAGACACATTCTGGGGATGTGGTGCTGGGCATGTTTTGAGACAGGTTGGGAAGGCTCCAGACCTGGTGTCTCTGTGCTAAGGACCTGCTGTGTGTGGTGGGACCAAGGGTTTCATCCCACCACGGGAATGCACAGTTCAGCTTTCCTGGAAAGCCTGGAAAGTCCCCACAGCAGCAGGGCTGCATCATCCCCCCTCTGGAGAAAATTCCCTGGTTAGGTTTGGGTGTTTCAGCCCCATTTACTGCCCAAAGTGTTAACGTGAGCTCATTCACAGGCTGCTCTGATGTCCTGCCCAGCCAGATGCACTGGGGTAGCTGGAGGGAAATATCTCCCCACTGGTCTCCTGGAGACTCCTGACCATGCATGGAAAAACCCTGGAAATGCATCCCTGAGGATGATTTATTTAACACATGTGTAGGAATGGGGATTAATATCAATTACTATAATTGCTGTGATTTCCTGGAGTGTCTGAGAGCAGGAAAAAAAAGTTTGGGTGAGGAATGGGAGAGATTGGGATGTGCCTGGTCCATACCAGCAGGATGGGCAGCAGGGTCAGAAACCTTTTCCTTGTGCCACCAGCACTGTGCTATCTATGCCATAGTGTCCTTGTGGGTATGGCAGCATTGCTAGGGAGCATGGATCAGCCTGTGGCACCAGGCAGTGACTCCTGGAGGTGCCAGGCTGGGCTGGGACCGGAGCAGGGACGCGGAGGAGCGCGGGACGTCGCCTCTCTTGGCTCTGCCCGGAGGAAATGGCTTTGGGCGAGCGCCGTTGCCATGTGCACACTGAAAGGCCCTGGACAAAGGCTGTGCCTGGGAAGTTTGCTCCGTGAATTGGGTTGGGATTTTCTGTTTGCCCCATTCCCAGCTCCTTCCCTCCCCCAGCTGCCTGGGGCCCTCTGGGCTGCAGCCAAGGCAGAGGCTCTCCAACACTCTGCCACCCATTTTGATGCCTGGTACTCCTGTTTTGGTGCTCAGCACCCCTGTCCCAGTGCTCAGCACCCCAGGTGGAGGAAGGGACTAGGCAGCTTCCCCATGCCAAGCATCTCAAACCCGAGGGCAGAGCTTTGCCTGCTGTCTGGGAAACAATGGAGCAAGTTCATTAGCTGGCAGGAGGGTTATTAGCAGGATGATATTTTTAATGAGGCAGGTTTCCAGCAGGCAGGGGAGGGCTGTTGGTGCTGTATTCCATGAAGGTCAGCAGCCCCTGGAATAAATTCCTACATTTCCTGCCTGCCATATTCTCACCTAACATCAAAGGTGGACAGAAATGTGACACGGCTGCTCTAGCAGTCACCTGCATTTCTCATCACTTGCTGGAACAGAGAAACACAAATCAGTGCCAAACTGAGCCCCTTTTCTTTTAAAAACTCTTGTAACTCTTCTCCCTCTCCCAGCTCCCTCTCCAGCGAAATCATCCTCCTTTGGGATAATTTGCACCATCTCTGCCTCTGAACAGTTCCTTTCCCAGGGAAATTTGGGGTCAGCAGGTTTTCCATCTCAGCAGGACACTGAGCACTGCCCTGTTCTCTTGCAGGTGGGAGCTCAGCAAAGCAAACAACCTGGGAAGGAGGACACAGAGTGCCAGCACTGGCATACTGGCCTGGCCACATCCCTGCCAAGAGGACTAGCCACGCTCTGCTCAGGTAAGAACCCATCAGGGAGTGGGACATGTCCAGTTTGGAAGAACCCACCATCCCAGCACTGGGACCCAGGTGATGATCTGGATTTTGGCAGCAACTGCTGCCTGCTCTGGTTATTCCCTGCCTTGTGCCAGACTGTGCTTTTGTCCTCTCCCAAGACTTAATGCTTCAGCAAAGAGGAGTTGAAAGGGCTTTTTGTGTGGCTGCTCCAGCCACTGGGCTCCGTGTGCCTCCTGCCCGCGGTGGCCGAGGGCTCCGATAATTAAAAGATGACGATGTTCTCTCTCCCCACCAAGAAGCAAAGCTCAGGCTTTGTGGTTTGTGAATGGCTTTATGTGGAGGAGGGTGCGGTTGTGGGAAAGGCTGGAGAGATGGTGCTGGCAATCCCTGCAGGATGCGGCCGGGATGGGATGGGAAGGGAAGGACTGCTGCCCTCCTCACCTCGCTGGGGAGGCATGGAGGGGTCTTCATTGCAGCAATACTGCACCTCTTCATGTGGCACTTACACCCCTCCTTGCATCCCTCCTTCAAAGCACAAAGAGGGCACAGCCTGGGCTGGGGCAGCACAGTGGGATGCCCTGTGCCCTTTCATCCCTGAAGGACATGTTGTTGGAGGTCAGGGTGGTGGGGCTGGGAGTTTGTTTGGCTATTGGGATATCCCAACCCCTTTTGTCCCTGAAACACATGTTGCTGGAGGTCAGGGTGGTGGGGG